CCCCAAAACCCCAAAACCCCAAAACCCCAAAACCCCAAAACCCCAAAACCCCAAAACCCCGAATTATCCAAACCTATTTGAAACCATACTATTTATCAAGGATTGCAATATGGGAGCTTCAGATACGCGTTCTAGGTTTGACTATGGGAATATCTACCTCCAACTAGACCATCCATACGCAGTTTCAGGTACAAACATGACTGGATATGTATATCTACACCTGACGCATCACTTTCCGGCGACTAGCGTTCTATTAGAGCTGAGAGGAGATGAAAAATGTAAATGGACTGAACAAAGAACTCATAAGGAGACTTTTCAAGGTGACCAAAAGACTTATAAATACAATCACTATCATAATTGACATCGAATAGTAGTCCATCAGAGATTTTGCCTTTATAATTTTGGACAGGATGGAGCTCCTCCAGGAGATTATACTTTTCCATTTAACATTCCAATTCCATTTGGATGTCCCTCGAGTGCATATTTCTCAGGTACAGATTGTGCGTTTGCCTCCATAAAATACTCTATAAAGGCAATTCTGCAGCCAAATGCAGCCTCTTGGTTAGGGGAAGTCACATTTAAGCAGAACTTAATAGTAAGAGAGAAAGCTCCTGCTTCAAGCGATAACATATCTGCATCTATCAACACAAATGTCAAATCCTGCTGCTGTTGCTGCTCAAAAGGCTCAGTTTCTCTCGAAACAAAGTTTGAAAAAGATGCAGTAGCTAGCAACGAAATTTGTAGAGCAATGTGCCAAATCAAGAACCAATGCAGTCTTCCTATTCAGCAAATCAAGATATGAATCAAACAATTCACACAACTCAAATCTGAATCTGGGATTTACAAAAGGAGCAGAGAAATAGGATCAAGAGAGTTTGATGGTGTTCAAGCGAGAGAGGACACAGATGGCTTTTCAAAGCTCTTACAAATTCCTCTTAACGAACTTGAAAGTAAGATGAGCCATCAGCTATTCTACAACTTTGATCCTGTCTATCGTGACGAAGTAGGGTTAGTCAATTTTATCCAACCAACTACATCAGGATTACACCTAAATATTACTTATTTACTTGAAGTAAAGCTCATTTATAAGATTCGTTGTGGCAAAATGCCCAAGACAAGCATACCTTTGTTTATCCATGCCCCTGAAATTGAAGGTTTCACTATAATTAAAGCTCCAGAAGACTGGAATCCAACCACGTATAATGAGTCTAACTATGAGACTCCATTAGCTCCAATAGAAATGGCTCAGAAACAAGTTTTTAACAACATTGCTTATAATCCAGCCGGAATGGGTATGTATGCCCAGTCACAATTAGTTCCTGGGGGAAGAGCACCTGCATATGTAACATACACTGCTCACAGCCAGCCTCAGTATCCCTTAGCTCCTCCTGTGCGCTCCCAATTGAAGCCCTCAGCCCCTGCAGAAAGACCATGCTCAGATAAAACTCCTTTATTAGAACCTAAAGAAGAAACTAAGGAATAACCTAAAATTCAACATAAAATACCATTTTAGGGGTTTTGGGGTTTTGGGGTTTTGGGGTTTTGGGGTTTTGGGGTTTTGGGGTTTTGGGGTTTTGGGG